TCCCTCCGTCACATGCATAAGCAGCCAGACCCCAGTAGGTTCTGCTCGCCCTAGGAACTCGCTGAGCATCTTACGTTTCTTCTATTGTTTTCGTGAAGAACTCCGGTTAACGGGTCGGTGGTCTTTCTACAGTACGTTAAAAACCATGAGGAACACAGCCAGTTATGGTTCTTGTCCATCGGTTGTCGTTCAGACCCATCGTTTCCAAAACGAACCTGATTTTCGACATTTTTGTGTGCACAACGAATTGTCTGATCCATGATTGCTGTCGCAGTTCGGAATCTCGATCCCCTCTCCCACTTGCGTGGTACGGGATCCTGTCAGCATTGTTTTCTCGATAAGCTCTCCTTGGCGCGGACTGATCTTCCACTATGCATATGTAGAGACCAGGTTCCTGACGCATGCGCTACGGTATCGAGTCGAAAAAGTGAGCAAGGAGTTGGTTGTTCTTTGCTCTCGCAACTATATCCTCAATGCTCTTAAAAGATCCTCAGCGGCTCACTTCTTCCTGCTCAAATCTAAGGCTATGTCGCTCATCATGATAACTCTACGATCCACATACGAATAGCTGAAGCATTCGGAGGCATTTATTCCGTTGAGCGAGAATGGGACCTCCAAAATAAAATTGTTTCTCAGTTCGTCTATTCGCTCAATCTGCACTTTCTATTCAAGCGAGTCTTATGACGTTGTACCTCATTCTCCTTGCCTGCATCATCAAGTCCTTTATGGAGAACTCAGATGCAAGTGGGCGTGCATTGCAAGCACAGAGCGTTACCTTAGTACTTCCAGATTTGGGCAGCATAATGCTTCTAGAGTGCTATATTCGTAATATTTTGGCGGACTCTCAGTACTTACCACACCCATTACCGTAGCACCGAGGCTCATTATGGGTCTGGGAATTTATGTTTATTTGTTTTACTGTTCTCTATTATACTCAGCTTACATAGCTTGTCTAGTCATCAACGTGTGGGCCGTATGTACCCACCCGTTGCTGGGCAGTTTCCTACATTTCAGACATTGAAATTTTTTAGCGGAGGTGGGCGATTCGTGGCCATCTCCTATGCATTTCACAATCACTTAATCGCAGACTTCGGGCCGAATTCGCTTGTAGAATACAATCTGCATATCCGCGAACACATACACGTACGCTGTACGAATATATTCAAGCAAACACGGAAGGTGCGCGTCCAGTCGGGGTAAAAGAGGGAAGGTGTCCTTCTCCTGGACCGTCCTCTGTCTCAGGGAAGCAAGAGGCCTTTTGGCCCCATTTAAACAATGTTCGGACAAGCTATGTTGTCGCGTGATTGACCGCTGAGGATCCTTCAGTGATGTAGATCCTTGGGCATACAGACGTTTAGAGAAAGTGTGTCCCCTAAAATGTCGAATGCACGAGATCTGTTATCTAGTCTGATAACTATATCTCCAATTGTATGGCAGAAGAATAAAACCATCTTGTTTCACTTCTATGTCTATAACACTGTTTCTCCACGAAACTTTCTACCCATGAAAAGAAACACCATACCTGGGAGTAATCCTCCATCAATATCAACACTATTCCTATAAGGAGACGTTAGTAACCCTCAAGATGCTCAAAATACCTTGGTTTCGAATGGTTTGATTGTGACCTCATGAAAAGGCTTGATTATGCAAGGATTCCATTCAGCCACAGCAACAGTGAAGCAACAAGCCCATGCATAATAAAAAAAAACATGTCGTATGGAACTCATTCACAATAACACAGGTATACAAGGAACAATTTGGCCGAATGGTGTCGTGTTTAATTAGCTATGAGGAACTTGAGAAGAGACCCATCGGAACCCACAAAATGTCACGTTTCGCTAATAGTCCTGATATTTAGATATGTGGCATCCACGACTTTTTCATATAAGTCTAACTTGTGAATAACGGAATACCAGTAAGCATTGCGCCTTAGAAAAGTCACATTAGAGTGCATAATGATTAAAGAATTTACATAATTCAGTGGTCCTAAAACGTCCTGGCAAATTTTCTTCGCAGTTTGAAGTCTTCAACTAATAAGACTCTTGAGAAGATATATATGTTGAAAAAGAAGGACCACTATGCTGCACAGGGCTTCTTTCATTCTCATTTTGCCCACCAAAAAAGCAATGCATCGTGAAAAATCGGTGGAAGATCACTCGCGAAAACTAAAAAAAGCAACGGCCGCATATTCGAAAAGCGTGACAAATTCCGTACATTTCAAACTAATGTTGGGCACCACAGGCAATAGACAGAAACTAAAGGACATTGTGCTGGTCCTTGTTGTACATTATTGATGAATAGCGTTGAAACAGTAAAGCACATGATCAAGAGAAAACTATTCTTTACCTGGATAGTAAATTAACGTCTGGTGTCAGCGTGGTAAAATCGCATGATGTCATGAAGTGGAGGATGAAAACAACCACCACTATGGCTGGGCTTTCACATAGGTTTCATTGACATTTGGCGCAAAGCAATAATAGCCAAGGAAAACGGTGGTAAAAAAAAACTCTAACTAATTGGGATTAAGACTTACTCGAGAAAAACCTGAATTAGATTGTGGCCTTTACTGACAACGGTGCTGGAGATTTTCATGTAAAAATACTGATAACCTATGCTGGTTTTCAATCGTAACAAAGTCGATATCGATAAAAGGGTGCATGTAGCGCAGTAGTTAAGAGCCGCCGTGCAATACACATAGGATCGATCTCGCGTCACAGGTTCACCGAGTGCTCCATCCTTCGGAGTGTGTAAATTGGTACCTGACTTGTCTGGTAGGATAGCAGCACTGGCTCGATACATCGGTAGTCCTCCCAAGTCATTATATAGGTCAGCTATCCGTTCAGTCATCTCTAACGATGCTAAATGAAGACGAATGAATGGCGCATCCCTCTGGGACTGGTCAACGCCGAAAGCTTTTAACAAAGGCGATAAAGCGATTTGCTGATAGCATCTATAGAAGGCTGCTGATAGAAAGGCGAAATGAACGACCCGCTTAGTGTGGTGGTGAATGCGTTAGCTCCTGGAAAGGATAATAGCGGACTCGATCCCCACCCGCCGAAACCTGCAAACCGGAGTTTTGCAAATATCTCCGCTTCATTGTAAAGCTGACAAATTTTTCAAGTGGATCATCACAGCTGTTGATAAGTGGATTTTGACTAGCAACATGACGTGAAAGATATGTACAAACTCCGATCACAACTGATAACTTTGGAATGAGTTCTCCATCATAAACGGCAAGAACCAGTGTTTATGAAAAGATATGTATTTAATTCGCTAACACTAGGTGACATTCAAGCTTTATGTGAAATAAGTTCATCGCTCATTACCGTATCTTGGACTCCCAGATCACTGTACAAGTAATCAACATACGTATAAATTTATGAACTCACACGAGCTTGATAAATTATTTTTATTCGGCCAACGTTCTGACGTCTTCATTCCGTGCGCAAATCCTTCCAGAATAGCGATCGTATAAAATCTTGCTGAAGCTTCTAATTGTTTGGGAACATATTATTTGCTTCAGTAGCATATAGCTTTAATTCACTAGATTTCCGTCTAAGGAAGCAAAACAGGAGAAGCTACCGACATCCGTGCCGTTCTTAATTGCCCAGTCCCACCTCAAGTCTCATTCATTCCCAGACCCGCTTACCTTCCAGCGTCATTGTGCGAGCAAAATCCACATCTTCAAGAATTCTGTGAACAAGCGTTTTCACGGGATCATTTAAGAGGTGTGACAGCAGAAGCCGGTTTCCATATTCCGATTAATTTTCCACAAAGCTGAAATCTCGAAAGTGCGTCGTTACAGATTAGTTTTGCACCAGACGCGGTTCGTTGACCCTTTCATCGTCTCGAATCCGCTGTATTCAATTAATTTCCGAACTCTTATGGTGCATGATACGTAAATATCACAAAAGCACTAGGAGTGAATGGCATTGATTAACCAGTTATTGGCAGCAATGGTCCTAAAACTCTTTACCAACTTAAACGTTTTCATACCAACAGAAAACGTAATTGGCTGCATAGTTCTGAAGAACTATGACTGTGCTACTAGAACAGATGTCGATATGTACTGAAGCTCACTCGAAAATAACATATTACCTATTACCAAGTTCAAAGGTTCGCTAAACTGACTTTTATCCTGAAAAGTAAGCACTCTCTAAGGATACATTGCGGACTGACTCAGTGTTGGTCCAGTTAACTCCAGACAAGTATACACTACATTGCTCTTCAACCCATGGGAATAACAATAATCGTAACCCGTGACTACGAAAATGACCATGTGTGAAGAACATTTATTGTAACACACTAATCGTATGTTAATTACAACTTCTAATTGTATGGCAGTACATTACTACGAAACTTTACGTCAACATATATAAGAAAAAGATTAGAGCTAATCTGGCGATTATTTCCTCCGATCGCCAACTTCTATCACTGGTTAAAACTTCACCGGTATGTATAAATCAAAAGGTAGATTGTTAAACTACTACTTCAGAGACTACTACAACGTGAAGAACGTAATATTACAACGAATAAGTTGCACATAGAAATCTTCTAAGGCTTTTTACGTAAAGCGATAAGAACCGACAATTCAAACAAAAACTGGTTTAAAGGAACAGAAATACTGAGTGAAACGAACGCGTAATAAGGGCATCTCGTCTTACACAAAATTATTAACGAAGATATGTTAAGTGGAACCGACTTCAATATACAACTGTTTAAATGTGACATCGATGCTAAATTCAGAAATAATGATTTAGGATTTGAAAACTCTAAGAGTGAAAGAAATTGAGGTAATTAAAACACCAAATCGTAACCGATCAGATTACTAATCAGAGAATCTTATCGGGACGGCTGCAAAAAAGGAACATTAGAGATAGCGAGTTCCGAAAACCATGTTTACGTGAAAAACCTGAATCGAACATCTGAATCGGGATCACTTTGCTCTAAAAGCTGGGATTTTGAAATTTAGCAGAGCAGCCTACAATTTCTAACAGTTCTTAACTCGCTCCAAAAGTTTCATATGCCAATACAAAATGTTTTTTTTTCTTTTGCACAGCACTTCTACCACGAGAGGAGATCGCCTTACAATATAATCAATGCATGAAGTCGACTACACCATCCACCGCTAAATGTGAAATTACAAGAAGATTTTACAGCACCACAAATTCCAAGTTCGTTAGAAAAACTTAATACTTTTGCACCGCAGGATATGTACGTGTCCTTACAAGTCGAAAAAAAACCGTCGAGATTTTGCATTACACTTCCAGGACTCAGAAATTTTGATCGGCCTTATCAATTTGGATCACTCTACTCACAAATACCCTATAAACCACTGTTTCCGAATCACAATTGTCTCTGCATAACATTAAAGTTACTTCTCCAAACATATGAACAATTTCAGAATTAAGCAAGCATAGTGGACCATACGTTCGAGTAATAAATAATGTGGCGGGTCGTAAGCGAAGAAAATGTACAGAACATTACAACATCAAAATCATACCTGTTATAATGAGAAAAATCTGAGTAGCTGAAAACTTACGAGTACGTCAAAGCAGTAACAGCAATGAAAAATTGTAAAGAATGTGATAACCACCTAATCCTATAGGTGGTATGAAATGGTATCGTTATTTGGTGTGCAAAATAAATCGGCAAAATCCAAGGACAAAAACTCTAATTTCATCCTATACTGAACTTTGACTCGAATCGCCAGATGCTGGACCACAAAACCCAGATGAAAAACTTGGTCGGCGCGACTTTGACTTAGCGTGAACCTGAATAATGTAAAAGGAACAAGCAGTACAGTAAGTGTTGCGCACATATACCGCACAATAGTACTACAGACCTTCGTATGACGTTTACGTTCATCGCTTCGAGCGAACTTCCTGCCACACACGTCACAAGAAAATGGTTTTTCACCAGTATGCGTACGAACGTGTGTCGTCAAATGATCGGATCGTGAAAACGCTCGTAAACAAATTCGACACTGAATCATGGGTGATGCTTCGTATTAACTTAAATATGTGACGTACGGGAAAAGGAATCATACCTGGAAGGGCTTTTGTCCAGTATGGATGCGAATGTGCCGTGTGAGCTCATCACTCCGTGAAAACCGGCGATCGCAGTCGTCACGAGGACATTTGTAGGGTCGCTCGTGAATCGGAACCTTCACATTTCGTTGCGAGTACTTTCGCATTACGTCGTACTCCATCTTAACATTCATTATAAGTGTCTACATTAGAGAAAATGTCACTGAAAACCTGGTGTACAACAGTTGTTCACCTTAACATCACCGGATGTAGACTGGTACTCGAACACGTTGAACTCACCATCTACAAATAAATAATAAATAAAAATACGTAATTACAAATTTCTTAGAAGCGCATCATAATGGAACTAGAAAAAACGGACAGAGTGCCATATGATAATATATTAAGAAAGAAAAACTTCTTCGAGTAGTGTACCTATGGAGCACCTTCACAAGAACAAACTTGTCCTTCACTATTTTAAGTACTTACATATCTCGCAAACAAAGAATTCTGCAAAGCTCAGCTGAACTTCTATTTGATTTTGTTGAATGGGTGTTTATTTCTCAGCTGCCTTAAAAAAGAGTGCAGAGTGTTCGAAGGCAGTGAATACCCCTTGATGATAACAGAACCCTACAGTCTCGGAAGTAGTGGTTCTTTCCGCAATGGCGAGTACTTCACAAACATGAGAAAATAAACTATGTGCAGCTTAATATCACAGAATTATACACCTGTTGCATGCTATTTCATCCAGTCTCATATTTGGTATTCCGGTATGGAAAAGGAATAAAACGGTATATGATGAGGAAAAACGAGTAAACAGCCACCAAAAAAACCTACTTGAGGGATCATAGCGCATTTGCTCACCGAAGCCGTAGGAATAGTCATCAATTGGCTCCACTTTCGGCTCAAAACCGAATTCTTTCGCATCATTCCTAGAAGCCTTCTCATTACACGCACAATGGACGAAGGATACAGACGATTTTAACACATCGCTTGGTTGAATTTCACTACTGCACTCACGCATAGTGATCTTCACTGTTAGTTTCCCCACTAAACTGTCCTTCAGAGAACACAGCTGATGGTGGTTGCGTCGTAGGTGCATGAGCAGAACTCGAATGAGCACTAGAGGCAACTTCAATCTGCAAAACCCAATGAAAATCTAACCAACATGTGTAAGACACACAAAAGAATAGAGCACAATACGATTTTTCTAGAGCAACAGAATAGTGCATCAATAACGAAAGTAATTTTTCCTGAAACATGGAAGGATATATTCCAAAAAACAGTGTACATTTAACCAAGACAATATAGTGTTCGTAATTCTCTAGATGGTGCGTTGTAACTTTTTAATCGCACAATATCGAACCAACAGTTTAGAAAAAAAAAACAAGTGAAGAAAGACCTTTACCTGAAACTTTGTTTGATTCGGCGGTGGTTGAAGCGATTTAATGTCAGAAGAGGCGCCATTTCGCTGAATGGGCTCAATCAACGTTACATTTTTTTCCTCCTTCATTTCTGTAGGAATACGAACAACCTGAAGATTAATCATAAAGAGGGACTTAGGAAAATTCCACAGCCTTCAGAACCAACCTTAAGCAGGTCTGGTGCTTCACTGTTAATTCCTGGTGTCTTCGCATCAACTACAGTTAGTTCAGGGAGTCCACTTCCACCCTAAAGAAACCATGCGGAGGAATGAATGAGATGCAAATGCAAAGGCTAAAATTTAGTGCTCTCATTAGTCATGAGAAGTAGTTATAAAATAAAGTTAGCAATAGGTGACATTGAATTATTACTCTGCTCATAAACAAAAATTTCATTCCATAGACCCACAGAGTTATTAGAAACGTGAATAAAGTCAGCAATACCAAAGGGTCTACAACCGAAACGAACACCAAAGGGGTAACGGCCAAAAACAACAAAAAACTGACAAATTGAGATTTCACAAAAAAAAATAGAGCTAAAATCACACCTTAGATAGTGACTGCAAAAAATGCTCAACCATTGGAGAAAACTGAAACATTGACGCAGACAACCCTAAAATGGAAACTATAAGTTTCAGATTAGAAACGTTAAATAGCGATGTAGGATGAACAAAATATTTACCTGGCGAACTCACACCAGACGTAAGATTAACTGGTAGATTTGTAGTGATTGATCCCTTAAACTGTATCGTTGTTTTCTCGTTTTTATGACAACCTTCACCATTTTGCGATGATGATGCTAAATTGATTCACATAAAACGTCAATCTAAGATAAACGAATGTTTCTAAATTTTTAGCCAGCCAACCTGCTCCATTAGGAAGGTTTAATGTTGTCGAAGTTTGCGAAATTGATTGTATTTCAATGTTTCCTGAAATCGACTAAAAATGTTTAAAAAAGGTTTAAAAAGAATTAATACCAATTTGTAAGCACACGATATGCTGCTCATTTTATAGTCGTTAGTGATTACTGTATCTAATCTCACTTCAATGTTCACCTACAGTTACTCGTCTACTACTTATCGACCGACTAATATCTGAAACACCTACAACCTACCTGGAAACACTTTTTTTTAAAAAAAAATACTGATTCATCTGTTTCAAAATATCAGTAGCACATCACTCGAGCAATCCTTTCCTTTTTTTCATTCCTTTACGAATATTTACAAAAGCCGCTACTATGAAACCCAACATTCAACCGCGACTATCCTATTTTTCAAAAGATCCACTTCCAATATCAACTTCGTTTCCAGCTACGTATTTAACCATAATATCAGTGCCGTCTCACGTCACCCAGATTGTTTATTGCATCTCCACGAATGATTGCTGTTCTTGCGTGTCGAATTCGCTCAATAATTCAACATTAAGGGATACACATGGAGTCCATTCCCGCGCCCCTGCCCCACTAAACCTTCGATCCCTCCGGGCTGGGCAAATTGGTACCGGACTTCTCTGGGAGGATAGCAACACCGGCTCCATACATCGATAGGCCAAAGAGTCATTGCAAAGGCCAGATGTGCATCCAATCATCTCCAACGATGCATAGTGAAGTCGAATGCATGATGCATCACCTAGAGATTGATCCACGCCGACAACTTTATCTTTTATACTTTTAAGCGATAAAAAGATAACGTGTTCGGAGTTAATCTACCCTTCAACAATGCGCCATGCTTTTAACTCCATTAAACATCCACAAAGAGATAGAGGCTTTGTGTGTGGTTACAAGGGGGTGCAAGATAGGACCAACGATTTATGGGTGCCGTAGAGCACCTCTAGCGACTATACATCACGCGCCCCAAATAAACGCTATCATTTGTAAATTCATCTATGAGTAAACCTATACCATGTCCGGGACTGCTGAATTTCCCCACAGCTACTTCGCCGTATACAAAAAAAGGTGATGCTCTTCGTATACTTCAATCAAGCGATCATACTGAGTATCTTGGCCGCACAGTTGAGAAAAGAGATTTTGTCGACGGTAGTTCGCGTTACTCGAGGATTAACTATACCACAACTAATGAATGTAACGAAAGGTGAAGATAGCAAGGACTTAGATTTTACGTCATAAATTTCAAAATGTATAGCTACCCTGTAAATGCCTTCACACTTGTCGAATTAATGGAGTAGTTATAAATGGTACGAGCGATTTTAAAATACAATAAAATCACTTGCACGTTTAAGAAATCACAATAGCAATGCCAAAATCAGTCGATGAAGGGCTGATCAACAACAACACAACGGCTTGACGAATTTAGCGTCCTCTTTAGTAAGGTTAACAACAACAAATAAAAGAAGTTAATTGCCTTCTATACGGCGCAGAAAGTACAGTGGCTACAAATGCTGTGCAATAAAGCATGCAAGCTCGCTGGTTTCACCTCCGCCAAACCAACCCAGCTTCTTATCCTTCCCTGGTCCGGAAATTGGCACCGGAGTTGTCTGCTGAGTGTGCGCACAGAACCATAAAAGCTAGTGACTACCTGTCGTGAAGATATGGGAACGCTCTAACGCGGTTAATCGAGGAGTACAGGGAAAGACCACCTGACCAGTTCCAACGTCATTAATGAAGACCAAATCCTCAGTCAGCAACCGAACTCACAAGCAAACCCTATGACTTTCGTGGATGTCGGGTACGCGAAAGTGAATCAAATGAGAAAAGTATGGTAATCCTCACAATTTGATATACGTTTGGTGGTGTAAATAAACAAGTTAACAAAAATGCCTTTCCCAGAGTCCTATGTAATATTGATGGCCGTACAGGAAACAATACTGTTTTGATATCCTCACTGACCCATCTGAATAAAATTCAACTTCAGTCCAGGTTTTTAAAGATTAAGTAGCAAAGGACACCCTAGATGGTATAGAACCTGTGCATCTCCTGAGTACCAACATGTAGAAGCCTGCTTTTCTATAGTCTAATCCACACAGTTGGTTGTGATGAGGACGTCACTAAGACCACCACAAACGGACAAAGAAGAAAATGCCAGTTGTGATCGTCTTCTCGGAAATCTACCTATTTTTCAACACTTCAAGATCACTTTTTATCAGACTTCAACCACAGCCTTTTAATTAGTGACACAGTTCAGGGATGTTCTAAAAGCAAGAGCTACGATGTAGTACTGGTACAACCAGTCCAAAGTACTACACGTTGCCAATAGTAGTTTAACACGTGTCACTAACACAGTCGTAAATTGGCATTCCCACGTCTATCCTTTAAGTGCCTTGATGTCTTTTAAGATGCAATACAAACAGGAATATGTGCGACTGTTCACAACAAACAAGCGCAGCATTTCGCTGGATGGTCAAAGATGGATCACCAATAGTTGAATCGGAAAATATTAAGAATAATCGCACATCGGGTGTTTCTGTTCCTTGTCACGACTTGAGCTCCTACTTATTGTGTATCATCATTCGTGATCGGGATTTAGTGACGGCAAACAGTCGTTTCTCTGGTTGCGGAACACAGCTGTCGCACAATCTAATACAGCTATTGGAGCCCCATATCACACTGCAGAGGATAGTATGTTGTTGATTTAGCCGCATGTTTCCATAAATAAAGGATAAAGACATCGGTGCTGATTAATCCCTGAGGGATGCGCCATGCATTTGACTTCGTCAAGCATCGTCGGAGGTGAGTGAATACATATCAGACCTTTATAAATACTCGCAATGACCTACTGATTTATCATGCCAGTGCTGCGATCCTCCCAAACAAGCCTGGTAGCAGTTTTCCGACCTCGGAGTGATGGAAGGCTTGTTAAGCTGTGGCGCAGGGATCGACCCCATGTGTACTGCAAGGCGCTTCCGACCACTGCGCTACATGCACCCAATGGTTCCATAGGGTTCTATCATAGTTGAGCTAGATAATTTTCCATATTTTATCAAAAACTGTCTCCATTCTTGTGACTTTAAGCGACTATTTAGCTAACGTAACCCAAACTGCTACGCCAGACGGAAGGTCCGTACAGGGCACCCATACGAGAGATGTTAGGAAGACACAAAAGATAAGTTCAAGCCAGAAAAAAAAACTCGTAAGAGAGCACTACGACAGGAAAAATGTGCCAAAATCACATACCTGTCAGCAGCGGCTCATGGTCGCCGAAAAACGCCTGATTATTTTGCGGTGCGATACCGTTGAAGTGATGGATCCGCGGTGTTCCATCAATCGTTAGCGGAGCCGATTTCGTTGGTGATCCAAGAATTGTTGGAGTCTTAAAAGGTATAGAAACATTCGAAACAGACATAACACTTCTACGAAATTATACAACAAATGAAATCCATAAATAAATTCACCATCTGTTTGCTTTCAACACGAAACCCTAACCCTGCCATTAAACTTCGACAACACCCTAAAAAGCATTAATACGGAAAGAGTTAATATATCGGTGAAATGAAGCAAACCATAAAACGGTGATGAAAGGGATTCCCTCCTGACGGAAACATTCGCTAACCCCTGACAGTCCACACTTGGTTAACTCCTGCTCCAGAAAACATATGCTCGTCCTTCGTCCTTTAATAGTTCTGCTTGCCGACTAGAGCGCGAAATCCTCACGTTCTATTGCGCACTGCTTACGACGATCAGAAATCTATTACATCTCCTTATTCCGATAATTCCTGATATCACGTAACACTAGGGATCACACTCATATTACGGATCTAAGGCTACTTAGTTACCAAACAATGAAACTTAAGCCAAAAGTGTCATGCAGTGTGTTTCGGCAATCTCAAATAGCCCGTCCCACAAATTCATATGCACATAGTCATATTTTGGCATCGATCCGACCAAAAGCATAGAACATTTCCTCCAGACAGTTGGGAAGACTTGAAAGTGATGGAATTTTGGCTCTCCTACAGTAAAGAAACCTCTACGTCTAACGAACATGATGGACCTGAGCCACAAGAACATACTTACACAGGATTCTGATCCTCCAAGTCTACCTATGGGCACAATTTTATCAAAAGTAATAAAGAATGATGGGTCTCATAGGAAAAGTGTGGTGTTGTTCATGTTTCACAATCGAAGGGAGCATCACAGGAAAGCCCGGCACGCGAAAGAGATGAAGTGAGACATATTTGAACCTGATCAGTTGACAAGGATAACTGATGGGACTACTGATAATAGAATATCGATAATGTCACATAGTAGGGCAGAGAAACAGTGACTACCTTTCGCACTGGTCAATGTAACCAATGTACCTGTTTTCTTCAGCACTTTGATCAGCTTTTCCATCATAGGTCGTCTTCAAAATGAATCATGCGAGCCTTGAGTCATTCCTTACAAAACTACTGCGTCGCTGATTTGACATGGTTCTCTGTTTTCCCTTGAAACCTTGGAAATGAAAACCAGATGTTCCCAGGTCGCCATTACACGCACACGTGTGGATCAGATCAGCTGTATCTTGTGACGAGATTTCTCTACGGTCAACGGAGACCTCTGGTCTAGGTTTGCTACTCGCTGAGCTTCCGGATGAACATCCTCAATTACCGATGTTTTGACGAAGTTGCACGAAGCCTTTGCGCAATAACACTTTGACTCTTGTTATTTTTTAAGCTAAATCTACTCGCTCACATTACAACAGTATCCTAGTGTATACAAGTGTACATTTGACTTAGGAGGGTAGTAAAAGTCCTCCGTACTAAGATCTTCTCTACGCACGAGACTGTGACACAGGGTAGTTTAATCCCTTCACTTAGTTTCCGTCTTTACAGCTGCAACATCTGTACGGCAAACAGTCGCAGATAAGGTGGGCCGGACAAGTAATGCGTATGAATGACAACCGATGGACAAGAGCCGTTAGTGACTGGATTCCTCGGGATGTCAAACATACTACAGGAAGACCACCGACCCGATGGTCAGAGTTCTTCACAAAGAGCCTTGAAGAAAGATATGATGCTCGACGTGTCCCTGGAGCGAGCAGAACCCACTGGGCTACTCCTGCACGTGACAGGGAAAAATGGAAGATTTACCTGCGTCCGCTCGAGTCACTCGACGATCAACGGAACTATAGGTGATACACGTGATACAGCTGGTACATGCGTATTTCCATTATATTTCTCTTCCATATGCATTCAGTATCGATTTCCATCTCTCAGTCGTAAGTTAACCGTTACTACATCTTTCAAGACGACTCTATATTTTATTCTAAGACCTCATTTCCTTGAATCTACTAAATACACACTGTGATTTTAAATCTCCACAAAGCTATCAAAATAATTCCCACGACCGATTTTCTATTTACCTCGGCATTGATCAAATAATTCTCTATATTCGTGTTGAGCAAACACGAGGTGCTACTTTATTCTTTATTCCGTTAAAACTGAGGTTTCGGCAGTATTGCCTTCTTCACAGCGTAGAAGACGGTATATACTTCCACCCCTTCCGGGCTCTGAAGAAGGCAATATTGCCGAAACGACGGCTTTAACTGAATAAAGTAACACCTTGTGTTAGCTCAACAACCTAACACAATAATTTGCTGAACCTGATTTGCCTTTTTTGTTCTCATATTTTGCTCAAAAAAGCGGATTATCTTATCAAACAATCAAGGAGATTTCATTCGATGGTAACGAAGTGTCCCTTCCAAAAAGGCTCAATATCGCTTTCATGCATTTACAAACATCTGGAGCAAAAAAAGGACCTGATCTATCAATGTGGGCTACAATAAGCATTGGCCCATAGTTTTCATCAAACAACTATAGTAACATAACGTGAAAAAAACACATTTGCTTCGAAATCATGTGTGTAGTAGATAGGAACCGCCAAAAGAAGATGATACCTTTGAACCCTTTGGATCTTTGTTATGTTGGTTGTTTCAAGACCACAATGCATAGAAAAAAAATATGAAAATTGATGTCTACGAGAGAAAAATAGAAATACGAATTTTCGAACAACGATGGAGATCTTGTTTTTGGAAACAGAACTTAGTCACAGATGTTTAGGAAAGCTAACTTTACTCATCAGCGGATACAAAATAAAAGGCATTGACAGCCAGAAGACAAAAGACGAGAAACCATAAGCATACCTTCAACATATCACTCATTGTCGGTGTTTTTAAGCAGTCATGATCAGATAGTGTCAGTAACGGTTTAGCGTTAGCGGCCGGCTTCAAAAGTCCAGGCCCCGACCGGGAAAGCTTCGAACCCGGAACCTGCAAGGCCATCCGGCACGTCCACCTGTAAAACGAATTAACTGCAACAGAGTTTTAGACTTGTCTAATGAACACTGTTAACAAAATCATTAAAATCATTACTGACAATGCGAGAACAGATGATGTCAATGAACGTGATAGGTTCTCGACGTATCATTGCCATGGTTTCACAGCAGGGCTTTTTCTAATAAACAGCTCATCGTTTTTTATGCATCCTCATACGAAATACTTTACAAAGCGACGTCACTCAACTACGGCTGTCGTTGTACTTTGTAATGTGAGCTCACTTTAAATACGAGTCACAATGAGTTAACAGTGCATGCACACGACCTGCTGGCGAAAACGAAAACGCTTTCAGGTAAGGCTAGCGCAGAATGAGAACAAAAGAAAAACAAACGGCTGGAATATCTTCGTTCCAATATGCTCAAGACGGACGCCATAATAACATAAGAGAAACAGATTATGTTACATATCCACTTGGTAATGGGAAGGCAGCACTAGCGACCAAGTCCAGCTAGGCCGAACCGACAGGCACTACGCGGCATCCTGACTGTCGGCTCGGCCGGCATAAAGTATGGAAACACTAGTGGATATGTTAATGGGCAACCATCATACAGCATCACAAAGATGATGATGTCGTGATTCACACCACTTTAAATGACGCTCTTCTTAGAATTCGATATCAGATTCGTGTAGTAAAGAAATGTGTTGTTGCAGAGTCAACACTTGGAATCGGGATTCGTGGGAATCTCATGGAGACCGACGAACATGGCCTTAAAGGTCATGACATGTCGCACTCGAAACCCCATGAATAGGTGCTGTGATGAAATAAACACACATTTTCAGGCTTAAGTAAGCGGAAACAAAAGAAGGACACTTTCGGTGAGGTGTTGAAGGGAGGTGTGTTACGTACGAGTTGCGAAATGAAGGAAGAAAAGTTAGAACAACACCATCAGAAGTGTGCAGTTATTTTAATAACATTAAAAATGAATGGATGAGAATATTGACGCCATCTCGAGAATGTTTAAAATATAAAAAAATGGGCGATTTTGTTTGTGAATATCCTGATCAGATAAGTGCCAGCGCGAGACGGCAGACCTTTCATCACACTGATGATGGCAACATGGTGAAGCATTCTGAGGAAACAAAACCCTCAGTCGATATTGGAAAGCGAGCACTGAGAACAGTGAGAGACAACGGCACATAAAGCAATTACTTAAACGCCACAAACAATCGAAAGGTACTGACAGCAGTAACACGCACACATACATACATACACGCACACATACGTACATGCGTACATACATACATACATACATACATACATACATACGTACATACATACATACATACGCATACCGTACTATAGGTGAATTACGGCAGATCAGGAAAGTACATAGAGTGTGAGCCATGGGGCAGCGACAGTGTTTCTGAATTTTCGGCATTTACTCCATATCATTAACTCTCGTACGAATTTTATTAGCATACTGTATAAAGGAATGAGTAAGCGTAAAACACAGGTCGATGTTGCATATGTAATGTCTGCAGTCTTAGGCTAAATCGCATCGAGAACGGGACGACAACGTCGTCGATAGATGTCTTAGACGTCATCGTATCGTATTCCAAACGAAAAGTGACAACTTTTACGTCACAGTACGTGAAACACAGTCGAACAACAAAAAGCGAGGGAAAAAAATGAACTCAAAAATGCGACGCGATGAGGCAAACGAGCCGCGGCGAGTACTCTGGTGTTAGCATAGGACTGATGTCCAAACAAGCAAAAAAGAAAGAAAAAAATCTGAAAAGCTGAACCGATAGAGCAGGATAGAAGGTTTGGTTCGAAATGCTCGATGACGACATTTATCGTGTCTCTTTCCGTTCGTCGCGAATTCAGGAACCGATTACAAAGTTTCGCTGAAGTCAATATATTCGTTGTGGCGCACGTGAACTCCTCTCCTCTTCACTCTCTGTCTCTGTACACTCTGCTGGCCTTCTCTGTGCGTCGATTGGCATGTTTCTCCCGGTTCCGCTCGTCACTCCGTGCACCGTCCGCATTCTGCCGGGTTTTAGATGATAAAGCGAGAATGCGGCGCGGTCGCGTAGCGAGCCGTCCGTCACGACTACGGTATGAGCATCACGGACGGACGACGGAAGGACAACGGACGGACGACGGACGGACGAGCGATGACCTGCGAATGATCGGACAGAGCGCTGCGATCAGCACAAAATCCGAAAGCACGTCGCCCCTGTAGTTCGTCGTCTACGAGGAGACGAGCAGAATCGGCGGACATGAAATTTAATGCACTTTGAGCATCAAATAAATGAACTATTCACTTAGCGCCAACTGGACTGCGACACGCTGTTAATTCGACGCAATTTGTTCAACACAAGCTGTGCACTCATCTCATAGATTTTGCCTAGCCGGTGATGAAGATGATTCGTCTCACGGTTCACCCACAGCGATAACTACTACTGCGTCCGAGCTGAACTGTTAATGAAACAATGAGGTGTTCTTTGGGGTATTTAACAAGTTTTTGCGATATTCGGCAACATGTTCGAGCGATTTCGCGAGCATTCTGCTGAAAAAATATTTCCCATATGCCTCTCGTAATTATACAGACATTAATCTTTCGCTTAAAGTACTTCGGCCTCAATTACATTAACGGATCGGGTATGGTTTTGTAATGCAAAAAAAAAGAAGACCTATTAAATGAAATGCGTTATGAATTTGGGATTATTTATTGGAAAAAGGATAGGAAAATCTACTCAACACCTCTTTCTCTTGATTAGAGGGTAAATAGATGGCAAGTAGTTTCCTAGGGTTAAATTATGCTATGGGTTAAAAATGCTCTCTTCTCTTTTCTTCTGCCCCCAAATTATCAGTATTGTTACAAAGTAGTTATTTAAAAAATCTCGAATACAGAAGGAGTATCGCTTCGAGGAGTCTACAGAATCTGAGCGACCACAAAAATAAATAATAAATAAATAAATGTTTAGGGTCCTTCCTCGTTTATCTATGCCCCATATGTTTTCGCTGCAGTTCGCCGGCCATTAGTCTACAATTAACTGTTTCCTGCGATGAAAAAACTTCCACGAAGACTGGTCAAGTGTCGGACCAATAAAATCCAAAAAAAAAGAAAGAAAATTTTGCACTGTGCACATAGAGAAGTCCATATATGATTGGATACGCCCGAATCTTATAAAAGCAACAGCGTCGTTTGGAAGGGGATAAGAAGCAAATTAGGAAAAAGTTGACAAGTGTTCATCACTGAGAGATCTACACCTCGAGTTTTTTGGCCAGTGCGTCATGCATTTGACTTTGTTGGCAGGATTGTTGGAGGTAATTGAATGCATAACCAGTCAATACAATGACTTGCGGCGACCTACCGATGTATCAGGTCACGTATCAGGTTAGCGCTGATATCCTCCCAGACAAGCATGGTACGAATTTGCTGACCTCCGAGGAAGGGAGGGCACCTTGAGCCCGAGGAGAGGAGTCGAAGCAGCGATCGATCCACTGTGTATTGCAGCGGAGTTCTAACCACTCCGCTACACGAGCCTTTATGACAGTGATTACTTACATTAAACGATGAACTGACTTACACTACATATTTGAGCGAATGTTTTAAGGTAACTGTAAACGAATTCTATAATAACGCGAAATTTAAGCGAGCTGTTTGTATTTGTTATTCCTTATATATCGACCTAACAACAGAGACCTTCTTCATCACAAAATATTTAGAGAAGCATCTAAATATTCACACTTATATAAACGCGTACACTTATCAACTAGTCCAAAAACCTGTTGAAGCATGAAAAATCGAAGCCAGGAAAATGCCAAAAATCTGCACAGCGAAACTCGACAACCTCAAGTTTTGAATGAGATTTGTACCAGAAAATAAGTCATGTATGAGGTCAACAATTGCTACACCTTCACTCGAACATTCAGAATTGAGATACATGTATGGAGAGGAATCCTTCGGAATCAATACTTCCAAATTATCAAACGTTTTTGAATGGAAAATCATGACGTCACACTGACGTTGACACTTGTAAACAGTCAAGCATAACGTAAGTAGTAATATTTATCAAAGAGAGTTCAAGGATTCTGAGACGTACAAAAGCATCCAAAAAAAAAAAATATGAGCGAACCACAGATCCTTTAAACAAGTTTTCTGACAACAAGTCAAGAAAAAATCTGTCCTAGAAAACTAGCGTGTGGAATCTATATCCGAGTGAAAAACATGAACAAAGTAAAATGAAGAGAAAAAGCGCAGATAAACAAGATGAAAATCAGAAAAAACGAACAGAAATCAAGTATGGAACCACCACAAAGCTGATAACGAAGACTGGAAAATGTCCTGATTTTTCACATTCGATATTTTCTGTTAACAACTTCCACACACGCTGCCTACACAGGAATAATCCTCCGAAATATTTTAAAGACCAACTTTCATTGAAACTCGGTAATAATCAGTAGTTTTCTAAATAATTTTATTACCCATCTTCTACAGCTACTGTGCCGATTCCAGCCCTTCTCACATTCGATTCGCTTCCTCGCATCCATTTTCTACGAAGATCTTTCAACTTTTACGTGGGGCTTCGGCTACTGCTTGAGGATTTTCGTTTCATTTTGAATGTGGAAGAATGCTGGTCGAGTCGATTCTTCCTGGAATTATAAGATAGCTATGGTGGAGCGTTCCCGGTTGGATTGCAGAGAGTGATTTTTTCCCGGACAAGTCCTGTACCAATTTCCCGACTCCAGAGGGATGAGAGGCTTGGTCGGCCCAAAGCCGAATCGAACTAGCACCATGCTCATGATGACCGACATGACTACCGCTGTGCTATCTACCCCATTGTCTATATAATTAGATTTCATAATATTATGATGTTATACTATGTTTTTTTATAGTATTTACACCAGTCTAGTGTCAGTTCAATCATGTACAGTGAGATCACAAAAATAAGTAATAGAAAGTTTAAGGAGAAGAAACTTTGCAAAAAGAACTTAACAGGATAGGGGCTCCGTTGAACAGCAAACATTACTTGTCCATTAATATGATGAGAAACCATTACAGAATTGAAAACAGCTGTACTTTATTGTTATCACTATGTAAATGGTCGCATATGGAAAGCAGTGAAAGGGTCGAAAATATGAAGACGCAACGACGACGACGACGACGACGACGACNACGACGACGACGACGACGACGACGACAACGACAACGATGACGATGACGATGACGACGACAGCTGGTGACGGGCAACGTGCGACGGGCGACGACAAAGCCGATGATGACGGCGACGGCGGCTGGCGACGGGCGTTAACGACGACAATGCCCCCCGACTGTACACCAAATGGAAGGCTGCATCTCGATCCGAGATGTTTTTCAGCGACACGGAAAGCGTTATCGAATGACTCAGCCATAATGCAAAGCAAATAAAAGTGTCTTATCAGGATTTTCACAAGAAAGTGAACGCTCACTGTTCGACGAAGACCGAAGCACACATATGGTATCAGCCATCACAACTGTTTCAACTGGAGATGTCCTTTGAGTGCGTAAATTTGTTACCGACAAGTAAATAACTGTTTTTAAAATCAAATTCTACCAGTGTTCTGTATAGAAAAAAGTTATAACATTGATGTTTCCCCTCCTCTTCATCTACATGAACCTGCGCTAGTTGTAGTTGGTGATTTTCCCTTATCAGTACATGAAACCAGTAACTTTACAATAGAATAGATACGATGGAATAGTTATTATATACAGAATTGGTTCAATGTCTCTTGAGATTCTACATAGTGAATAGTACGTACCATAATCACTGGTTTATTTTTCCACATTTTCGAAGGGGTTTTCGTGGGTGTGAAAATGGGAGTGGTGAGTAGGTACAGATATAATAGAGCGGTTCTTGAAGGTAAGAAGAAATTCAGATTTTGATTCCATAATACTGGGTAAATGTGAATTAATGGCAGTATTAGCAGACATCTTGGAGGAAACCAAATGGCGAGAGTGTTAATCTCCCAGATACACATGTGGAGGCTGACTGCGGTGGGGAAGTGCGAAGAGTTTGGGAAAAGAACATCGTAACAGCACGAGGAAAGGGAACCTTCCATTAAAGCAAAATAGTAATAAAAATTGTGACAGGTCAAGGGGCTACCTGTCGGCCTGTGATATCCATGATTTTATGTAGGTGTTACAAAAAACTATGAACTCCGAAAACCACAGAGATTATTTAAAACGACATTTCGTGGTCACAAGATGGGATGATGACAGCATAAACATTCTCACTATGTCAGCGACTTATTTTCTCACCAGCACCCATTCTTATAGAGCTAGTAGAGGAACAAGTATATCATACTCAATAAATGACAGCGTATAGCGGCAAAATGAGGGCTCAGAGAGAAAAAACGCAACAAAGTACAAATATATATTGATTGGCATGTCGAAAAATGAAAACATTTCAGCAGGCTAAATTTTGAAATATTTTAAAATTGATAAATGAACAAAAGTAACAACTGATGCTAGCTAGTGGAAAGTTCGAAGTACAGCGGTTTATTAGATGAAACGCACATCACAAACACAATACGCTTGGATTAGCAGAGAAGCTCGATGTAAAAAACGAGACTCGGAGTGCTGTCAGAACCCAAACACTCACTCAGAAAACAGCCAAGTAACGAGTCCATTAGTCCAGCATCTGTCGGTAAAATCCACGCTTAGATGAGGTAGCGGAATTTCGACATGGTGGTGCCAGCCAGCGATTGACCGAGGAAAACTTTTCAAGTGTGATAAATGCTCAACTGTGTGAGAAAGAGTGAATTAAGTTGTAGTATGAGAGAAAAGCACGGTGGATGGTTTGTGTTTGACAACACTCGATGATGACTCGGTGAGTTTCGAAATTTGTAATAGACTGATTATACGCCTGACTGCAGAGTTAGTGAAAATGGAGAGAAAAAGTAAGCCAACCCACCAATAGGCACCTCTCGCTTCGGCAAAATTGTTCCGTAATGTAAAACTTCGAAAGCGCGAAGTAAAAACACTAATGCATGACGTATTGCTCGTGTTTTCCCTTCGATACGGTCATGAAGAAAATTTCACCTCGATGAATCGACTTCAATCAGTACACTTTTCTCCTACTGGTTTCTAAGAGAACTTGCAATAAAACGAGAACTATTGTGTTTAATTCCGAATACGTTTTTTGATTCCACTGTCCGTACTATTGATTGACGTAGAATGTTGGGTTTCAGAGTAGTCGATCGGTGTTGTTTTCGTTACGGATGAGGTGAGTGTGGTCTCGCTTCTCCTCAGTCAGACTGGCTGTCCCTAACATTCATTCACTCATTCACCTAGTTACATACACACGTACACACACACATACACACACACACATGCGTATATACACACATACGCACAAACACACACATTACAGTTATCAAGTGCGGAAATAGGAATAATGAGTAGAGTGCAAGTATAAACATAAATAGGAACTAATAATGAAAAGAAAAACTGGTTACCATGTTGTTGTTGTTTAGCATTCATCACGAGCCCACTTTGGGCTTGGATATTTTCGCCGTCAAAAGAGAAATAGAGTCTTCTTCAGAAGTGAGATGAGATGAAGAACAAGTGTAGAAGAGGAAATTCATAAAGCTACTCCTTAACGGAACACATTTCAGGATATTTATTTTCGCTTTTTTCTCTCCTTCATTTGACCACATTTCGGCCAATAGTCACAGCTGTGTCAATCGGCAAGCTGGTTTTTGCTATGTATTATTGATATTCAAGATATGAAAAAATATGGAAGTGAAGCATGGGAGGGAATTTCATAGAAAATATTGCTATACTATTATGTTTGACTAATGAATCACGCGTTGTAGAAAGATGCCTTCAACAGACCAGTGAAGACGTCATCTACGCTATTTTTCTATGCTTCCTTTTACAAAAAATTTCAGCAAGAGTAACCATTCGTCAAAAATTTCTTCATCAGAGAGAGAGAGAGAGAGAGAGAGAGAGAGGGACTGAGTGAGCGAGAGAGACAGGGGAGAGAGACAGGCGGAGAGGAAGAGAGGGAAATTCTATCCGATTAAGAGGCAAATAATCTTCACAATTGGAATTTGTCACTGGATTGACAAAATCGATTGTGTGGTCGAGAAAAAGAGTGTGCTAAGAGATATTATGACGAGAATATTGGGTGTGGCGGGCTAGTTCGTAAAGTCGGAAAAAGTGAACCTAAAAATCGGTATGGTTTTCCGTCTAACTAAACTTCGAACCACTAGACACTGGAAACTTTTGCATAATGTGCAAACTATGAAGGTTTTTTTTGTAAAGCGATAGTTTATAGGCGGCTGCGTTAGTCTGCTCTAAAAAGCTTTATGCTCGCTTTTGTTGCTTTTTTTCTCTCTCGCTCTCTTTCTCTCTCTCCTTCCTTCTCTCTGAAAATACTTCGTCTTCTCTTTTCTAAAGCGCGAATAGTTGTAAAATTTTTAGAAATACGCCTAGGCTATGTTGTTTTAAAACTTGTGGAGAAGTCGTGCAAGAAATCTGTTCAGAAAATGTCAGCAATAGAAATACTCTTACTTTAAAGAAGAAAGAGCATCTAGAATTTCTTTATTTCCTCCTGTCTCCCAATAAGCAGTAGAACTACAACTTGGGAGTATAAAGCAAGTTGGAACGGGGGTGGATCTCAAAATTCAATTATTTCTACCCATTAGAGCATTTCTTGCACTTCGTTCTGAAAATAAAAATCGAGAAGCGTTACATAGTCGAACTGGGAAATTTTTAAATAAGGTGCGAAAAAAATATCCGAATCGCAGGTTCTCATAGGTGGTCGACAAGTAGCCGTTCTTGGAACTTCATTGAAAAAATCAAGGTAAACGAAGGGCATATCAAATAAATCTGAAGCAGAACTCTTCGTAAGAATGGTTCATTCAAGTATTCAAGATAAACGGTATTATTCTTCAATGCCTATTTAGTAAATCAGAAATCTCAATACACTAACAGTTCAGATTGGTAAGTAAATTGTATTATCTGTTTCAAAGTATAAAATTCCATTTACTTAAGCAATATTGTTCAAATATAGTTACCAACGGGCTTTTAAGTGATATAAAAGTGCCATAAGAATTAGAAGTGGGGCAAACTAGCATTTCAATGCTGGCAACATGACATATTAACCAAGGTAATATTGTAAAGATTAGCTCATCTAGGCAAATAAAGGACCAAGGAAATAAATTATCTATTCTAAAGTTTGTTGCACAACGATGTAATCCGTAAACATGCAGCAGCGGGGAATAGGTGACTAGCTACGTTACACATAGGTCGGGCCAGCAAAGCTCAACCCCGAGCAGCCTCGTCAGCGAAACCTCCCTCCTCTGGTAATGCTACTCTACAGCTGAGATAATCTAAGTTGTGGTTGTTTAGCAGTTGCTTTCAAGAACTCTATTATATATGCTTGACGTTAGACGAACCTGATCCGAATGAGAATTGTCACTCGACACCAATTTTCGCCTGAACTGAAAAGCTGCGATGCTATTTGGACAAACCTACAATGTTCGGAAAGAAATGGAATCTCATGCATTTCATTTACCTATGTGGGATATTGGAATCGGAAAGTGGGATTTAATCTCTTCTCTTACAAAGATCCAGATTTGTGCATACTCACATTTGTATAACACATTGGGAAACAATTCTGTGTGTACATAATATCCACAAACGTAAGTGGCTTAGAGACTCCAAGGTCTCTCAACAGCATTGTTCTTTTCACTGTGCTCAGTATGTTGACTTTGGAATCGATCGTCGTCAATTGACATCATTGTCAACGGGTCAGTTACTCATCTATATTTCATGTACTTGCACGTGAATCGCTGCGAGCTATTGAACTTAGCAGCACCACTTTACTATTTGAGACACTGAAGGTCTATTGAATGGACCGATAAATGAAGATCGAACTTTATAACAACGTTAAACAGGACTCATTCTTGCTTTATCCTTGTTTTCAACAGTAGCCTTCGCGTTCGCCAAATTTCTTTCGCATGGGAGTGAACAAATCAGAAGCAGATTACTGAAATAAATCAACTGAAACAATGTTGCACTTCAGTGTCAATCAAGAGGGTGAATAAATCTCCTACGTTGGGTGAAATAGTGTGTAAGAAATTCGTTACACGCTTTTAAAAGTTTTATACATTTATTCTACAGAATTTATAGAATTAATGTTCCAATGGGATAGTAATAGCAACCTGAAAGCAGCGACGTTAGGACTGTAGAATAAGCAAGTCTAACATAAAGGGTAAAACGCCCGGATCAATTCCTTAAGTATGAGCCAAGTATTCGAATAATTCAGCATGGTAGTGGTGATTGAATTCACATTTGCCTTATATAATGGTTTGTAATGGTCTACGATGTATCAGCTGGGTGTTTTTCTATCGGATAAGTCTGGCCAAGGGGTACGGATGGCTTAGTTTGTCAGGGGAACGAAACCGAACTAATGACCTGGTGTGTTTCGTCGAAAACCATAAACCAATAGAGATTGTCAACGTTCCAAAAATTGTTCAATTTATGAATCTCCAAGTACATATAAGAAGCACGGACCAACAAAAAACCATTATCATTCAGGACTGATTTTCTCGCGTTATTCAAGCAGCAATTTGTAAGCGTAAGCAACTATGAGAATGCGACAACAACAATGGGTGATCGAGACGAAGAGTTTCTAAAGCCCGCATCGGTTTAGATATCGTTGAAACACTCGTTAGTAAGAAATCGGTCGATTTCCATGAATAGATGGGCTTGACGGGTTCCAATGTTGTGATCTTGATTCGAATAAACCTGGAGTAATCAAAAACACTTCTGGAAGTGGAATGATTAAGGATAACAAATTAGTGACTTTTGGTTGTTGACATACAAGTTGCGTGAAATGAACCAGTTCCGCTTGTAATTTCTCCGACAGAAGCGCACTATTTTGAAAGTGAACATTATCTGGAATAAAGAATATCCTACGAAAGTAACAAAGAAGAAGTCCATTCGCTAGTCACCATCTGCTTCTCCATGAGCGAGCATATACTTGACGTTTTTGAGAAGACCAGCTTTATTTAGTAGTTGAGTGGCCTAGAAAAAATTTCATTGAGAAATTCAAAAGTTGTGTTAACGCTTGTGGAACGCATTTAACGGATAACGTCGAAAGACTTTTGTTGATGTGCATTTTCTTTTCTCGTGAGAACGAATAGCAGAAACTCATTCTTAATCTCTTAAATATATCTCGCTCGACTTCCTGGAAAACGCAGACTCTTAGGAATGATGCAAAATCTAAAACCCACATTGTATCCAGTTGGGTTTTCCAGAGGAACTCCCAAATACCTCTCCGTATAAGCGCTATCTAAAGTTGAATTTCTTAGTTGGATTGTGCCAAAGTATAACCAGTATGTATGAGAAAAAAACTATGGCGTTCATTTCAAGCAGACATAACAACCAAAAACCCAATTTAATGCACTCACCACCCACCATAAAGCATAAAGTTCGATACCGGTGCCACCGCAATTGCACATTTGAAGGTTTTACCTTGATCAAGAATGCCGGCGTATGTGCTGACAAAGCCACCATAGGACTGAAAACAGTTCTTTCTTCGATCCTCCCTTCTTTCCTCTACTAGTAATTTAGAAAATTGTTGCTTACTACGCAGTCTCCTTTACTTAACTAATCTTTTCTAAGAAACCGAACATTTGGAAATTTTAGTGCATTATTAGTGTGACCTTATATTTATCCTTAAACTCATTTCTATAAGACTAACAGTTTGTGATGTTATAGCATTTTAGTTTCCGATATCTTATTAGGACCGAAGTGCATGTTAGCAGTTATTATTCTCGGATTAAATAACAAATCGAGCGGGCATCAACTATAGCCGAGCAAATGAGGCAGGCACACAGGAATTCTGGCACGCGACAAGTTCAAGTAGGAACATTAGTAGTAGCACCCGAGTGGCAAAGATGATTAATTCGATTGCAGATGACAGGTGACTGTGACAACTGCTATTTTCTTCCACTTTTTCTCTTTAAAGCACTTGTTATAGTTTGAGCAAGTGCTGATAGAAAGTACAATTCATCTGCGCTTTGCTATCAAAACATTTCGTTTTTACTCAAGGTTTACAACAGTGACTATGAGACCCTAGAACTATGTAGAAGATGCGACGTAGCATTGAGTCAATTAAAATCACCCAAATATCCATTTTTATGCCATGGTAAGGTCAGAAGTTAGTATTTCAATGCATCTTATACTAGAAAAAGAACTTGAATTTCTCTTTGCAGCAAACGCAATTTGGGCGGACGCGATGAGCAAATAATTGCACTTTTAATGGTAAAGCTGATTTTAAACTGAAGCGATGGCTGAATGAGACATGCGCCTAATGTTGTTGAGTGTTAGCTACTGAGACGTTGACGGAATTCATCATCGCACAACGAACAACAAATTATCTACTGCGATGCTACTTCACGACATTTAATGGTGATCAGCGCTTACCCAGCCGAAAATGGCCACACGCTGTTCGTCGATGAACGAATACTTAGATATGAGGAGTCTGAAATCATTCATTTGAAAAGAGTAAGCCTGAGCGTGAGTCGATAAACTACCAACTTCACAGCGTCAATTGTGTCCTGTGTTTCGTATTGTCCAAGTGCCTTGTAAACAGGAGATTTCAAATTCCATCCTGAAATTCTCCTAAAATATTGAAAAAATCCTCAGTTTCATCAATTACAAGAAAACTATTTCATATCATCCAAAGCACCACATAAATTCTCATTATGTGAAGTGTCTGGAAAGGTCATACGTTCGACAACGTGATTCATTGTGTTCTTTAGATGTTCGCATGAGGGAGTGAGGGAACGCATTAGGGTATTAATGTGTGCAAATTTTCAAAATGAGTTTTATAAGTGTGACAGTTTCCTCGACTATAGCCTAATTAAACGAAATATAACCACAACGTTGCTGAGATATTGGCAAAACACCAGAATAGATATAAACTTCGCATAGAACTAGCTGAGAGACTGACGAAACGAAGGACCCGCATGGTGTGGTGGTGAACGTGTTACACCCCGGAAAGGACAGTAGCGCGTTCGTTCTCCACCGCAGATACCTTCGGTCCGTAGTTTTGCAAATATCTCAGCAACGCTGTGGTTGTATTTCGCTTAATATCCTGCCGTAAAAGTTGTATTAGGCAGAAAAAAAAGTAAAACATAGCCTAATTATTCGATAGATTCGATAGAACTAGCTGAGAGACAGGCAAAACGAAGGACCCGGATGGTGTGGTGGTGAAGTGAGCTGCTCCCCGGTAAAGACAACAGCGCGTGTTCGTTCCCCACTGCATACACCTGCGGTCCGGAGTTTTGCAAATATCTCAACATTATATACGAGTTATATTTCGCAACAGGCCCTGCCATTAAAAAGAAAAAGGCAGTAAATAAAAGGGTTAAGATAGCCTAATTAGTTAAAGATTCCCGTTATAAACAACGTTTATATAGATAAATCATCGATGGTGGGTTATCGCTAAGCATATTACTAGTAGGTTGACCGACCTGGTCCTGTGTATGGACCAGAAGAAAGGCCGCATTTTGATTCATGGCTCCTCATTTGAAATTAAAGTTCTTATAGTGATAGCGCAGGAAAGAGAATGTAGTAAGGATATCATCATCGTGTGATGAAGATCTAGTAAAGCTTAGTTGTGCATCGCAGTGCTGCAGTCATGAATCCGTAGCCATTGAACAAGTGTCGAGTTTCCATAAATAACAATAAAAAATAAAGTTGTCAACTTTGATCAATTCCTGAGGGACGCGCCATGCATTCGACTTCATTAAGTGTCGCTAGAGGTGGTCGAGTGCATAACTGGCCCATGCAGTTACTTTGAGTGCCCTACCGACGCATCAGATTCGTGTTTTCATCGTCTCTCCCAAGCATGTAACGATTTGGCGACTGCGGGGAGATGGAAAGCTTGTTGGGCACAGGGCACAGAATTAAACTTGTGGCCACGTTGTGTATTGCAGGGCACCTGTGACCACTGCGCTAAACGCGTCCATCACTTTCGATAAATAGGAGAAAGAATTATTATTTTCGAGTTTAGTGTGGGTAGACATGTCATAACTGTGCTCTGAAGCTATGAAATAGCTCAATTAGCAAACCTCGATTTGAAGCACCACGTCCATCAATCCAAACCACGATCGCATTGAGATGCGAGCAAAAGTATATCATATTCGAGTTTGGAGTTACTCGACGAACTCGACAACTGTTCGGACCACCATAACTTAACAAACAACCTTTAGAAACTGGTCTTAAGCAACAATTTTTAAAAGGGAATTAGATAGAACTGTTAAATTCTGAGTGGCATTATGAATTAGTAATACGAAACTACCTTTTAAACTGTGAAATGCACTGGTCTACCTAGATTATTTGCTTACTAATTACTCTCTAAATCTCGTCGTTCGTATTTCGTAGGGAGGTCACGTCCAATCTACATTTTTATCTAAGTAATTCAAACTTACACATCAACCAGTAAAGGGTATTTCATCGTTGGATCGAACATAGGTGGTTTCATGATTCCTACATGTGCCTCTGAAAGCTTAATTATGCATCAGTTCACTGAATCGCATAAATGGGAATCATTCCAACAATAATTTGATTAAAATTTTTTAAAGTATCTATAGACTTTAAATGCAATGTTGCAAAATGATGTTCTTCCCAACTAAAATCAGACTCGCCATAATTTGATGGCAGTTCCATCAGCTCGAAAGATAGCTCAGGCAGATCGAAGGGAATATGGGTCTCATCGGCTCCTTCGAGTAGCTTGTCTGAACCGAAATTCTAGAAATATTAGGGACGTTTTCCAAGCTGAGGTAATTTTCAATAAATAGTTTTCAGCAGTGTCGTTAACATAGAGTGGGTTTCGATCGATTTTCCAAGAAGTGTATGTCAAAAATCAGCAGTTGAAATCATTGCACCAGAGTAAGAACTGTGTGCATCCCACACTTAGTTCACTTATCGTCAAAAAAAGATCATCCGAATACTTGGCGCTTACCGAAGTAAACTTACTGTTACTAGGGATGTCTATATCCATAAGGTACATTTTGGTATTGCGGAATGGTTGAAGGCAGCTAGCAGCAACACGTCTTCCATCGGGAGACACATCGAAAGAGCCGTAGTCGCAATCCAAGATGAATGAGGATAACGAAATGACCGATGACTATAAATTAGTGATTACTAATGAGATTATTGCAACATTGAGTCGGTTCGGCGTTCGCCTTGAGATAAAAGATTGCCTGAGTAGACGAGCTGGCGTTGGAAACTTTATAGAGTTGCATAGTGCCAATCGCTCCACCGGCAGAAGTAAAGGTGAGAGTGTCTGACTTCATGTTGTAGGCTTTTATTTCGTGGATATCATACGACTCTCCATGCCATGACGTAATTCTACCGCTGCCGTTTTTCTTTAAGGAGTAATCCAATTTTTTAACTGATACCCAATGGGAACACTTCAAAAGATTTCAACAAACCAAAATTTGTATGTGAGCGATATGGTTGTAAATGTTTCCATCATGATATGCATGCGGAAGAATAACGAAGAATCCAACTCTAGAGGCAAGTATCTGTTTAAAATCACTTGGCTCAGCCCACATGCTTTGACCATTTATTGTGAATGACTGTGTATAAGTCTAAAATGCAGTCAATACATTTCTTGTAAAACAATCTTTTAGAGGTTTTTGTGTACGAAGCGGCCGTGTACAACTCACTAGAAGGCAATCGGTATCATTGCACAGAGTGATGTAGAGGAGGTTTTGTTCACGAGTGGCCCATACGGTCAACAGCCGCTCGAATCCGAATGAACGTCGTACATCGATAGGCATCTTCAGCCACTTACTAGTGAAGACGTAATACGATCTGCATATCAAATATCTACACGTCTAGGATTGAATCGATACCTGGGGTGCTTTTGTGCCTCGAAGTTTCCTCTTATGCGAAACAATTAATTGTAAAACTTTTTCAAGAAAAAGTAAAAGCCCTATATATGAATATTACTTGTTAACTGACTCTACATATACCACTGTTTTTATTCAAAACCCTAAAGGAATACTTAAGCAACATCGCCCAACATAAAGTGTTACTTAGGCGGGTACCAGGACAATCTCTATTTGTCCCAGTCACATGGCACATCCGCACTCATTTTCACAGTTCTTGGCAACAAAGTAAAGTAGCCGATTGTTTTGCTGTAACGTAGGTTCGCTTTCAGAAGAATATTTGAATGGAAGTGTTCTACTTCTCAATTTTATAGCAGTTTCTTATATTCTTCTCCTCTAAATTTTGCACGGACTTTACTTCATAACAATTTTATAGCAACGGCCGTGTAGCTGAGCAATTAAAAAGGAGCTTGAATATTCTACTTCCGCTCTTTTCGTTTCGTATAAATATCGGATTTCGACATTCATGAATTTGCTGCGGTTACGATGGCGCGTTAAGCTACTGGTTGACATCTTAGTGTCATGATGAGAAATTTTCAACAAGCAGCATCAGAATAAGAGTTATCAATTTTAGAGCATTTAGGAAAATTGGTGTTTTTGTGCGCACAAACTTTATTCGAGTGTATTATGGAGAAACATAGCCGACACACACATGTAGTCGGAATGCGAAGCTCTGATCTTCGAAGGCTACCTCATCTTCGGCACCCATGATAACATACATCGATAGCGAAATGTAGATGGGCTGATCACATAATGAGAACAACAGACGAAAAATCGACGAAAAGAACTGTAAAATGAGAAACCAACTTTCCCTGAACCTCGGTGTGACTAATCAATATGCATTCTTTCTTGATAAGCTTGCACGAGGTTGATAAATATATTTATTTTCGGCTAACGTTTCGACGTCTTCGTCTTCCTCAGAGCCGATGATCCGAGTCGATGGTCCTCGCTTGTTATTCGTCTCGACGTTGCATCTTCGCCTTCGTGTCGAGCCAGGTCTTCCTATTATTATAGAAATATTATTACTACGCTTTCTGCTAGCTGATAAAACACCGACTTCTGCACGATGTCCGCAACGATGTATGTCCGGAAGAAATATAGGCTGTTACCACCGGACATTATCATTATATATCCACCATCAGCATCGTGTATAAAAGGTCATCACTAAGTGAGGATGCCTCATTCGAGAAGATGGATCACTGAGGAAGACCTGGCTCGACACGAAGGCGAAGCTGCAACGTCGAGACGAACAACAATCATGGACCATCGACTCGGATCACCGGCTCTGAGGAAGACGAAGACGTCGAAACGTTAGCCGAAAATAAATATATTTATCAACCTCGTNGGACATTATCATTATATATCCACCATCAGCATCGTGTATAAAAGGTCATCACTAAGTGAGGATGCCTCATTCGAGAAGATGGATCACTGAGGAAGACCTGGCTCGACACGAAGGCGAAGCTGCAACGTCGAGACGAACAACAATCATGGACCATCGACTCGGATCACCGGCTCTGAGGAAGACGAAGACGTCGAAACGTTAGCCGAAAATAAATATATTTATCAACCTCGTACAAGCTTATCAAGAAAGAATGTAAAATGAGAGCCACAATGATGTAGGCGTACCCTAGGACCACCAGCTACTCGTTAGGTGGAGGTGTTCGTAATTAAAGTCAACCAGCTGTGAGACTCGTACCTGCTACCACTATGGAAGACGACTGCGAGGCGGGGAAGCGAGTGGAAAATCTGCTGGGGTCCGCATAACTCATGAAGACGGTCCGTCCAAGTAAAAAAGTAAATGTGTCGTTTTCTTGTTCAGCAATCGCGAGGTTTTTAAACAGCATACATTTACTTCCATAAAAACAATACAATACAACGCTAGCTGACGTTTCGGCAGTATCGCCTTCTTCAGAGCCGCTTTTTCGTGACTTCCATTGTGGAAGTTTAGAACAGCTGATTATAGTCGTATGTGGTTGACGACGGCAGTCACACATGAACCGCAGTCGCCAACCACATGAGACTATAATCAGCTGTTCCAAACTTCCTCATTGGAAGTCACGTAAAAAGCGGTGAGTTTTTCGAGAAGCTGTTGATCATGTAATTACCAAAGAGTTTTCCTCTTTTTGTAAGTGTTATTGAAGCGTTTGGCCTAGTAGATTGTATATCAGTATACCCTTCCAGGCTCTGAAGGAGGCGATACTGCCGAAACGTCAGCTAGCGTTGTATTGTATTGTGTTTTTATGGAAGTAAATGTATGCTGTTTAAAAACCTCGCGATTGCTGAACAAGAAAACGACACATTCATATTCCAATGCCGAGGTTAAGAGAAAGTCGATCCTGGGAACTAAAAAAGTAAATATTACAGAGAGGTGACCCGTAACAAATGTGTGCTCTTTGACTCGACCCAGCTCTCAAATAAGCCAAGCCCTCACTCCCTTCGGACTTGGCAATTATTACAGCACTTGCCTAGGAGGACAAAAGCCAGAGTGAATACAGCGGTAGACCGTTGCTAGTAGTTGTATAAGTCAAGTGTATATTGGATCACTTCTACAAGTTTTCTCTTTTAATGAAATTTTATTAAAACAAGTAATTTTCTCTGAGGCAAAGTGAGTTCAGTGCAGTTAACACTTTGAGAACACTGTCGATATCTAAACACAAAGCCTGAGGTCAGCTTACTGGTTCATCTTCATAAGGGCAAGCGGTGGCTCGATGATCACTGATTTCTTTGTTGACACTTTCCAAATGTATAATGTGATTAGTGGATTCTCTTTGACACCTGCTTTAGGATATGGTATTTCTATGTACCTAAAACAAAGAGTAGATGGGAATGACCGGAAAAAGAAGAAACTAGAAGGCTTACTGCGGATATTGAGACCCTCTAAAGTATTCCGGTATATAAATGCGATTTACCAACCGATCATCAAATCTGAAACGACCAAAAATTGGTTTCTGGAAACTGGAAAATATTTTAACAGATTTCTGTTGCTCATTGTTTTTTCCTCTATTATTTTTGAGCAATCATAGTTTTCGTTTCCACTAGTAAGGAATACCGAACAAACTTACCTGAGGTATGCCACATAATCACCTGAATCAGCCCACCAAATTGCATCTCCAGACAAAAGAATCTCTTCTGCAATTATGCACATGCAAAATTTGTTAGTAGATTTTAAAATTCCATTCCTATAAAAGATTATACGGATCCATAGAAACTCCACTCACCCTCATATAGCCAGTCTGGAACTCCATAGCGCAGCAAATAGTTGCCATCAGGTGTTAGTTTTACGGCACTTCCAGGTTTTTCTGGATCATCTTGATAGTAGATATTGTAATCGTGCACAAATATCTTAACAATTTCAGAGCAAATAGTTTGTCGAAAATGAGAGGTAAGCCACACAACAACCGCTAACAAAATCGTTTTTATTGGGATTTGGATTCCATTCTAAAGAATGTATCGCTTCAAAACCATTCCCTTTGGGTCCAACTGCGAAAGAGTCCCTGAAAAGAGTAAGAGTGATATTTTCTACATTGTAAAATATCTTGATAGACATATTTAGGCCACAAAATCATGTATATGTATAATTACCCTGTGCGGGTGCCATTCACAATTCGAAACACTTCGTAAAGCTCTTCATTGGAGTGGCGAAAAATCTTAACGGCAAAAACTTTATCCCCAAAAATATGACAGCGGCATTTGAAGCAATTTTTTTCGTACCAACCTCTTTGGTGTTTTGTGTAATATAAGCGTATTTACGATTGGATGACATAGCGCGCACCAAGGATGCGTCCATAGGATACTCAACGGCATCAAATGTGCCTGGTTGTACCAAAGTTACTGTTGATGAACTCTGAAGATATTAAGCAAACTTCTCGCTTATGAGACAAAAAAAACCTTGCTTCAAAAAGGTTAAAAAGAGCTTTGTTCCATAGAATCTTGAACTAAAAGTCTCAGCAATACTAAATTCATGGTCATTTTTCTGAAATCATCTGGCCATGGCAAACTAGATGTTCCCTTTCTCCTGTGACAAGCATTTTTCACGTAGAAAGCAACTTTCACTTCATTACGAACAAAATATAAACAAAAGCAAATACCAAGCGTGAATGAGGTGGTGAATAAGTTCATAGCATTGGTCCTATTGTAACGATGACGAGATAGGTCTGACGACCTCGTCATCGCCAATATATTACTCTGTGCGGCTGCTATCCACCAACTAACTTAAATACTTACAACAAATAAACGGCTCTGAAGAAGGCGAAACCGCCGAAACGTCAGCTATTGTATCCTAATAAATTCTATAATAACAACCTCGTGATTGCTTATTGAAGAAAAATATCGAATTTCTAACGAAATTCAACGGACCTCAAAATACTCATTCTTCGCCAGAACGAGGCCACCACTTCGTGTCCAGAATGTAGCATAAGATTCTTTAACGAACACTTTGCCGGAAAACAGATCCTCGAAGGTGAATTTCCGGAAGTTCGGACGACCTCTTCGGATGTGCAGATGGGTGGAGGCGTTATTGTCTGTATTCTCAACAAAAGATATCCGCAAGTTCTTTTCATCTCCGATAAGGTTAACTGCTGAAAGGGCTCAAATCATATCTTTCTCTTATTCGGTAGTGTACAGTATGTAAATGCCTTCACGGGCGAAGGCTTTTTATAAGATAATGGTTCCTATCAAGTTATATAACTTTAAAATCGAGATTTGACAAAAAAAACGGATGTATTTAAACATGCTACTCATATATGAGGACGCGTGTGGCCCAGTGGTCGGAGGCGCCCTGCAACATACACGTGGAGTTGATCCCTGCACCCATGACCCATGAAGCCTTCCACCTCTCCGGGCTCAGCAAATTGGTATCAGAGTTGTCTGGGAGGATAGAAGTATTGGCTCGATACATCAGTAGGTCACCGCGAGTCTTTTTCTTCTATTCTTCTAATCTAATCTAATGTCTTCTAATCACCTACTCTTTAATACTAGTTGGGAACTCATTGATAGGAATCCAAAAACTAATTGACTGGATAACAGTTTAAGGAGCTTTCAGTTCATGAACATGCTTTTGAATACAGTAACACAAAAGAGACAACAGCTTGAAGCCGTGGAAATGACTTCCCACATTATGTCACGGTGTGACAAATTTCACTGCGCCAGTGTACTCAAAATGAGCTGAATTTAACGACTTCGGGCATGGCTGAAATGAGTTGTTGCACGTTATGTCAAAAACATAAAAACAAATGGAATACTCGCAGCATTAGAGTCAATAAAGTTATGCGCATAAATGCACCCAATTGTTCTTGCAACTCTGAGAATAAAATGGCAGATTCTAGCCAGCATCACCTCACTGGTAGCGCGTGTGGAGCAATGTTCAGAAGGGATCCGCAACACACATGTGGAATCGATTCCCGCGTTCATGACCCACCGCACCTTCTATCCCTCCGTGGTCTGCAGATTGGTACTGGACTTGTCTGGGAGGGTTGGGATTGGCTCGGTAGGTCACCGCAAGTTTTTGTAAAGGTCTGATATGAATTCAGTCACGTCCTAACGGTGCTTAACGAAGTCGAAGGCATGGTGCATCACTCAGGGATTGATCAGAATCCAGAGCTTTATCCTTTTATCCTTTTGCCCATATATGTTTATCAGAAATTATCCAACACCAAGCTTAGAAATTTTGTTCCAGTCTTCTTGTTGGGTTTCAGAACGCAACGAATTTTTTAAAAGACTGTATACTTCTGATGTAAACTTGACTCTTGACACTTGATCGGCCCGTCATCACTGTTTGTGCGGGCCCCCAGCATAATCACCATTTGTCGGAGATTTGCTGGTTTAGCCATTGTTGTTCCCTGGAATCCTGAGGTTAGCCTGGTCAAAGTCTGCTCCAGTTCTTCACCACCACGGGCAACGGGCAGTCGCAGCCATTGTGGATCAGAGGGAGATTTGCCACCATGCGACTTTGATACCAGGACGGTGGGGGATCCCTAGTATTGGTTTACTCTTAGCTAGGCTTTCTAATGAACTGGACAAATATAAAGCATTTTGATGACTATTAGACCTTTATTAGAGTGCTACCAAATTTTAATGTGATTTTCTTTTGTTTCGAAAATCATAATAAGGAATTGTGCGAATCATTAAGGTATCAGAGTAATATTTATTAACAGCAGTCTAAAGGAAATAATATTATAGAGGACCGCCGACGTGCGTTCAGGAGTGTTTGATAGTTCTAACAGCGATTTCTTTTAGTCGCCTGCCTTTGTTGTTGCTGCTTATCACACGCACTGCCGTCTATATAACATTGAAGTCTTCACCATCAACAATTATTCCGAACTGTGAAACATGCTTTATTATATCCGTAATAGATAGAGGTACTCTGTTCTGTTTCCAAAAAATTATAAATTGACAGCCATTTCTAAAAACTCACTTTTCCTTTTCTTCAAAGCTACTATGGCAACTCTAATGCTTCCAAAGAGGTTTTCGCACAACGCATATAGAGCATTAAACCAATGTTGTTGCAGTTGCCGGTTTGATTTATTCTTCATATCATCGTCATTCATCATCTATCATCCCTTTGTTCACCATCATCAAATTATTCGACCGGAACTTTTTAAATTTTCAGTTTCAGTTCTCAGCATGGTGCTGGTTTTAGAAATAGAGAACCTCAAAGGAGGAGTAGAGGCGTCTGAACAAAAGTTTCGGATTAAGTTTTCCACTAACCTTATGTGCACTATTCGCTCTTCTCACGCTGATCCTTGATCGAAGCAAACAGGGTTGATTGGGTGTTACAGATGTTCTTTCCATTTTTCACAGCTTTAGCTACTATCGTGATTTCGGCTTCTACATCGTTCTTGAACGGTCGGTTACTTTTACATTCCTACTTTTGTTTCTGATTTCCGTTTTAACATCTCTCCGAATCAACTAGTAGGAAGACCGAGCGAAGGATTCGTCGTCGAAAACTCACCTCCCTCCGATCCACATCGTGGTGAGGACCTGGACACGCCCTTGTTAGGTTACGTCAAGACTCCAGGAAGGACCAAGTTGCACGACCAACAATAGGCCAGCCTCAGTACTTCGCACACTGGGTGCTCCGGCCAATGACGTCAGGCGGCGAGACGACCGGTGAGAGGCCAGAAAATCTCGAGTTACACAAGACGTCAGTAGAACTGAATCCGACAAACACACGCACGATACGCCATGGAGATTTCTATGCGCGTATAATACCAGAACACTCTTCACAGACGCCGATCTTCACGCCTTTCTTGTAGCCGCAGATCAAATTAAATTTCATGTGATCGCATTACAAGGAACAAAAATCAAGAAGATCTACATACGCCAACTAAACAGTGGAACGCTTGTGATCCGCGAAGAAAAGGTCCGGTCACGAGATGTCGGCGGCGTAGGCTTTGTCGTCCACCCGCCCATTGTCCATCTCATCGACTCATACGTGACCCTTTCCCCTCGCATAGCTGTCCTCCGTCTTCAACTGTCGCATCATAAGAAGATCGCTACTGTCAACTGCTACCCACCGACTGACGCAGTTGATGAGTACGAATTAAATTCGTTCTACTATCAATTGGAGGGAGTTATTCGCAATGATAAAGCATATCATGAATTCGCTGTTGGAGGCTCCACGATCAGAATAGGAAAGGACAACAACAGCGAACATATGATCGGAAATTTTGGACTAGGAGAAAGCAATGAGAATGGGAACCGTCTCGCAGGAATCCTATCCGCAGCACGTTTCTTCCATGGAAACTCGTTTTTCGAGAAGAAAGAAAGCCACCGGTGGACATGGGAGTCTCCTATTGGCATGACTCATGCGGTGATCGACCGTATTCTGACAAACAGAAGATGGTGCCTGCTTGAAACATCGGTAGTCCCGTCATTCTGTACTGGTTCCTACCACCAGCTTCTTCACACGAAGATTCGATTCAGCCGCAAGCTGGAGAAGAACTCTTTCATCGACCACGAGGAAAAAGTCTAGTTGTATGCGACGAGAACATTCTCGGCGAAGTTCTGTCCAAACATGACTGGCAGATTAAAGAAGACCCGACCGAAGACTACGTGGTGCTTGTCGAAGGACAGAAAAGTTATGCCGAGTTAGCTTCAGTTCCTCAAGCAAGAAGATCGTATCGCATCTTTACTACTGCTAAGGAATTGCTCGAAAAGGGAAGGAAACTGAAGGTTGCTCCTAGTGCGACACGTTTAACACGGCTAGTGATAAATGCCATCTTCAAAAGAGCTTTGCAGGAAGGCGTACCTCGGTACAGGCAGAAGAGACACTGGAAGCATCAGAGAAAAGATGCAGTCTAAAAAAATGCCGTCGGAATTTGTGTGATTATAATGTTTCGCTGTCAGCTCGGATGACCGAAGATGGGATCGTCAAAACTTCCCGCCATGATATGAAATTAATAGCAAAAACGTTCTACACCAACCTTTTCCGTTCTACAATCCCCGTCTCGGGCTCTAATATTCCCGCTGGAGAAAAGCCACCTGGAATTCTTCTGTCGGAGGTTCGAGTTGCGATAGAAAGCATGAAAGGAGGCACAGCCCCAGAACCCAATAATATTACCGCCGAATTCATTAGAGCTGGAAGTCACAATTTACATCTACGCCTCACAAAGCATATGACAGGCTACCTTCAAAGAAAAAAAATTCCAGAACAGTGGAGGACGTCGCGCACGGCTATCCTACCCAAGGAAGGAGACCGAAGGAATCTTCGTAACTATCGTCCCATATGCTTGTTAAGTGTACACTACAAGCTCTTCACGAAGATTATCTTCTCGCTCATATCAAGGGCATTGGACGAGGCGCAACCAGTCGAGCAAGCAGGATAGCGAAAAGAATTTTTTTGCATGGACCACATCCAAACCCTGTCTAGGGTCATCGAAGTTTGTCGGAAATTCCACTTGCCTCTAGTCGTAACCTTTGTCGACTATGAGAAAGCGTTTGACAGTGTAGAAACAAATGCAATCCTACCAGCGCTCGTCGACCAAGGAGTGGAGCCGTCTTGCATAGCAACTCTGTCCGACTGCTATCG